GCTGGGGAATTTGGGAGAGGCCCGCTGATTTTCTGGGAGGAGGCGTCCAAGGGCAGGCTTTGGAAAGCTCTAGGGAAAGGGTGGGAGAGCCACTTCGAGGGAGGAGGGAAGAGCAGTGAGGGCCGGGCTGAGGAGCTGGGGCAGGGGCTGCTGGCTGGCAGGCTCGTGCTGCTAAAAGGCCAGGTGGGGCAGCTGGGAGAATCCAGCCCCCAGGCAGCACCTGCACCTTCCTCCCAGCTCCACCTCTGCCACGGTGATAACCTGGTCAGGTTGCTCCTCTGCAGGGGGGTCTCAGCTTTTCTGTCCATTCCATGAGAGTTTGATTCGTTTTTTCATTCTCTTTTAATTATTAGTCACTCATTCCACAAATACTTACCAAACTCCTGCAGGAAGCATGTAATGTCAGAGTTAGTGGCGATCTTGGTTAAGGTGCTTTACTGATCTGAGCCTCAGTTTCCTTGTCTGTAGAATGGAGATGATCATTGTACCGACCTCCAGGGTCGGTACATGTCAATTGAGGAATGTGCTACATGTAAACTGCTGTTGACGGAGCCTGGGACATGGTAAGTGCCTTGGACCCTGGAGATATGGCAATGAGGTAAAGCGGGAGAACCGCTTCCCTGGCACTGCCAGTCTAGTGCAGGATTCCTCAAGTCCCATGATCAAATCATCTCTCCAAACAGAACGGTGATAACTGGTGGTAAGAGATCTGAAGCGGCATCACCGGGTCCTGTGACCCTAGGACCTGGCCAGGCGTGGGGATCATGGAAGGCTTCCATGAGGAAGCATTCTCAGGCCAGGATCTGAAACGGGAGGAGGATCCTCTAGGTGAAGTGGGGAAAGGAATCTTCCAGGCAATGGGAGCAGTGTATGTACAAACGCTGAGGTGGGTGACACCAGCATGCTGGAGAGACTGAGATGAGGCCCGAGGGTCCCAACTTTGGGTGGCAAGGAGATTCCAACGAGGGAGTCAGGGCTACCCGAGCCTGTCCCCGGGGCCTTATGATAGACTTGGTGTTTTATCCTCAGAGAAATGGGATGCCATCAAATGGCTATTAGCAGAGGAATGCCATAATCATCGTGTGTGTGTGTGTGTGTGTGTGTGTGTGTGTGTGTGTGTGTGTCTAAAAAATATATCTCAGCCAGGCACAGTGGCTCACGCCTGCTGTAATCCCAACACTTTGGGAGGCCAAGGTGGGAGGATCGCTTGAGGCCAAAAGTTTGAGACCAGCCTGGGCAACATAGTGAGACCCTGTCTCTTAATAAAAGGGGTGGATGGAAGGAGACTTTTCTCTGCCTATCCTTTTGTACCTTTCTAATTTTGAAACAAGGGTTTCCCAGTTTAAATCCATCAATCAAAGCCTTAAAAGTCAAGCAGCTCCTTTGCTGCTACATGGAGACCAGAAGATGGGCTGGGAGTGGAGGGCAGCAGTCAGTGGGGTACCCGCTGGGGTCCTCTGGAGTCACACCTGAGGTTCATTGCCTCACACCAGGAAATTAAGGATAGGAACACACAAGGCACACCAGGAGTGAGGTTAAGAACGGGGGTTTAAATAGGCAAAAGAAAGAGAAATGTTCTCCTTCCTGTGGAGAAAGAGGGAGTCCCAAGCAGATCTTCCAGTTTCATGGTGAAATGCACAGTGTTTTATAGATGAGCTTGAGGAGGCAGTGTTTGATTTATATCGGGCCCAAAAGATTGGTCAAACCAGGTGTGCCATTTACATAGCTCGAGAAGAAGCTGGTTTCTCCACCCTAATCTTTTTTTGAGACAGAGTCTCGCTGTGTCACCTAAGCTGGAGTGCAGTGGCATGATCCAGCTCCCTGCAACCTCAGCCTCCTGGGGTCAAGTGATTTTCCTGCCTCAGTCTCCCAAGTAGCTGGACTACAGGTGCATGCCACCATGCCCGGATAATTTTTGTATTTACAGCAGAGACAAGGTTTTGCCATGTTGGCCAGGCTGGTCTCGAACTCCTGATCTCAAAAGATACAACCTCCTTGGCCTCTCAAAGTGCTGGGATTACAGGCCTGAGCCACTGCACCTGGCCCCTAATCTTTTATTATACAGATGGGTTCTCTACCTGGCTGGCTCCATGTTACCTGTTTCTTTCTGTACACGTGGTGACAAAGAAAAGAGAAAATGGAGCCTCCAGGCTGAACATACCTGGCTTCCGGATAGCCTTTTCCTATTGGCATAGCTGCTGGCATTCACCTGTGCCAGCTTCCAGCTTGCATATCTATGTCTGCAGCTCGATTTTACAGGCTACTCTTTGTTAGAAAAGAAATGATTTGGGGGTTGCTTTGTGTTAAAAGGGAAGCTTACCGAGGACTCTCTTGCCATCACTAACTACCTAAATCGTTTCTTTTTAGCTCCTGTATCAATGAGAGCTTGGACTCGGGGCCAGGGGGGTTAGTATAGAGAAGCAGATGGAGTCAAAAACATTCATAGGCCGGGTGCAGTGGTTCATGCCTGTAATTCCAGCACTTTGAGAGGCTGAGGTGGGCGGATCACCTGAGGTCAGGAGTTCGAGAACAGCCTGACCAACATGGCAAAACCCATCTCTACTAAGAATACAAAAATTAGCTGGGCGTGGTAGTGGGCACCTGTAATCCCAGCTACTCGGGAGGCTGAGGCACGAGAATTGCTTGAGCCCCAGGGGTGGAGGCTGCAGTGAGCCGAGATTGTGCTGCTGCACTCCAGGCCCGGGTGACAGGGTGAGACTCTGTCTCCAAAAAAAAAAAAAAAAAAAGACATTCATGAAGTAAAAAGTAAAACTGCGTTCCCTTGATAGCCCCTCCCACGCTGATTCTGACCTCATCTGAATGGAAGAGTCTGAGACAGGAAAAAGGTTTCTCTGGGGACCTCTCGTCCCATACTCCTTTGTCTCTAAAAGATGCTTGCTTTGGACTGGTGACAGAAGTGGAGTCTAAAGAAAGAACGCGGGACCTAAGCAAAAACAGCAAGGGACAGTGTTAAAGGAGGACCATTCCGGCAGCCTCTTCCCTTTAGAACTGTTTCCTCGGCCTGGCAGAATCCTGGATGGTGGAGTACTCAAGGGACTCATCTACCCATAGTTGCAGGCAAACATGGTTCATCGTACCCACATGGCGTTCCAAGCACACCCTGTCTAAGGCAACAAGAACCTCCTACCTGCTAGCTCATGGGAGGCAACTCACATGAAGAATGAAGCCAACTCTATGACTTGAAGTTTGGGGGAGTGTTCGTTGAATGGAACGGTTGACTTCCATTTAACATGCAAATGCCTTGAAGAGAGACAACGTATGCGGCTAAAATTCATCCAACGAGAGCACAAAGCAATCCTTATGAAGGTGTGAGCCACATGGCTCAGTTTCACAATAGGGTCATGGTCAGAGAAACTCAGTTCACCAATAAAAGTAACACTAGTCTGGCAGTGTCTCAGAAACAGACACCTCATCTGACCCAACAATTGCACTCAGGTATTCAGGCAAGAAAAATAAAAACATATGTCCACACAAAGACTTTTACGTGCATGTTCACAGCATCCCTATTCATAACAACCCCAAACTGGAAATGACCGCAGCACCCATCACCTAATAAATGCATAAACATATTGTGGTATGCCTGGTATATTGCTCAGCAATAAACAGGAACAAAGATGGACGCATACACCAGCATGGATGACTCTCCTGCCTACTCCTAGGAGATCAACTTTTTCAGCTAACACACGTGAGTAAGAACATGCAGTATTTATCTTTCTGTGCCTGGCTTATTTCCCTTAACATCATGTCCTCCAAACTCATTCACATGACCATGAATCACGACACTTCATTCCTTTTCATGGCTGAATATTATTCTCTTGTGCACATATACCGCATCTTCTATTGATGAACACTTAAGTTTGTTTTCATATCTTGGCTATTGCGAATAGCATGGCAATAAACATGAGTGTACAGATATGTCTCTTCAACAAACTGATTTCATTTCCTTTGGATATTCGCCCAGTAGTGGGACTGCTGGATCAAACGGCAATTCTATTTTTAGTTTTTTGAGGAACCGCCATACTATTTCTATAATGGTTATACTCATTTGCCTTCCCACCAACAGTGTACAAAGAGTTCCTCTTTCTCTGCCTCCTTGCCAGTATCTGCAAATTTGGCTTTTTAGTAATAACCGTCTTAATTGGGGTGAGATGATACCTCGCTATGGTTTTGATTTGCATTTCCCTGATGATTAACGATGTCAAGCATTTTTCTCCTATGCCCGTTGCCCATTCATCTGTCTTCCTATTTTCAAGTGTCTATTCAGATTATTTGCCCATGTTAAAATTAGATTATTTGGCTTTGTTCTTGTTACTGTCGCATTTCTTATATATTCTGGTATCAAACTGCTGGCCTCAGGTCATCCTCCCTTGGCCTCCCAAAGTGCTGGGATTACAGGTGTGAGCCCCGCACCCAGTTTTTATATGCTCTGTTTATTACTTCCCTATCAGATGAAGAGTTGCAAATATTTTCTCCCATTCTGTAGGTTGCCTCTTCACTCTGTTGATTGCTTCCTTTACGTACAGAAGCTTTTTAGCTTAAGATAATCCCATTTGTCTATTTTTGCTCTCGTCGCCAGTGCCAAAAAACCTTTGCCCAGAGCAATGTCCTTCCAAAGTGTCCCCCCTCCCACCAGTGTTTTCTTCTAGTAGTTTTATAGTTTCAGGTCCTGCATTTAAGTCTTTAATCCATTCTGATTTGATTTTTTTCTATATGGTGAGTGATAGAAGTCTAGTTTTATTTTTCTGTATATGTATATCCAGTTTTTCCAGCAGCACTCATTGAAAAGACTTTTCTTTCACCACTGAATGTTCTGGGTGCCTTTGTTGAAAATCAGCTGGCTGGTCTCAGTGGAGACTCTACTGTGGGAGGGAGAATGAAGCGGGACCTCGATGGGTAGCTGCAATGACACTGCTGATACAGGAGCCCTGCAGTTCCACCTGCCAAACCCCGAACTGTAATTGTCTGATGTTGAAGCTGAAATGCCTCAGGAAATAAAGTCTTTGCTTTCATTTTTTGGAAGTCAATTCGCCAGCAGTCAAAAAACATGGAAAGTCACCATTTTGGATTCTTAGCATTCCCTCTGAAGATACTGCAAGAAATTGAATGAGATATGTGAACTATGGGGTCCTGGACAATCTCCTGAGGAGCTGTACAGTTCTCTTAAAAATTACCCTGTGGAGAAGATGGTTTCATTTCTACATTCAGACTCTACATATAAAATAAAGATTCACATTTTTAATAAGACATTGACACAAGAAGAGAAAAATCAAGCAAACAGATGCATGTAAATTTCTCCTATTTTAAGAAAACGTGAATTTAAAGAAATGACAACATATATTCTCTGTTTTGGAGGATTGTGGTTTGGACCGAAACTGCATTCCTGAGAATCCACATGATATTTGTTTTGATAGATGGATTGCAGATGGACAGAGAGAGCTTACTGAGTCATACCGTGTCAAAAAGGGGCGCTTTGCTAGAAATACAAGTGTGGATGCTGGTTTGTCATGCAGCATGGCTAACCATGGGAAAGTGAAAGAAAATGACATTGTCTTTGATCCATTTGTCAAAACAGCAGTGTACTGTTAATTGTAACTGTAAATTGGGTCTTCTCGAAACTCGCTGCAACCAAATGGATAAAGTTGTGTTTAAGAAAGCAAAGGGGGCCAGGCGCGGTGGCTCAAGCCTGTAATCCCAGCACTTTGGGAGGCCGAGGCGGGTGGATCACGAGGTCAAGAGATCGAGACCATCCTGGTCAACATGGTGAAACCCCGTCTCTACTAAAAATACAAAAAATTAGCTGGGCATGGTGGTGCCTGTAATCTCAGCTACTCAGGAGGCTGAGGCAGGAGAATTGCCTGAACCCAGGAGGCGGAGGTTGCAGTGAGCCGAGATTGTGCCATTGCACTCCAGCCTGGGTAACAAGAGCGAAACTCCGTCTCAAAAAAAAAAAAAAAAAAAAAGAAAGCAAAGGAAAGCTTTTCTGTTCCCCTTGACAACTAGCTCTTCCAGATGGCCTCATGATAGCATCTGCTCATTTTGGTGCCTATGTATATGGGGCAGACACAGACTACAGCACAGTTCACGGCTTGGGAAAGGCCAGTAGGGAAAAAAAACAGATATGGAGAGGACCAGAAGAAAACATTAGAGCCGATCTTTGTCAATACAGTTTACAGAAGTATTACCTTGATGTCCTGGTGTCAGATGCATCTAAACCTTCCTGGAGAAAGGGCACATGTGTTGATGCAGTCATTACCAATCCCCCACATGGTATCAGAGAATCTACGAGAACAGGGTCACAGAAGGAAATACCGAAAGAGGTGGAAAAACGTCCAGAAAGCCACGTTCCTGTTTCCTTGAGTTATCATCTGAGTGATATGTTTGTTGACTTTGTTAAACTTCGCAGCTGAGACCCTTGTGTTAGGTGGAAGACTAGTAGTCTATCGGTTACCAGTGTGTACACCACAATACATTGAAGAGATGGTGCCCTGGCACCCTTGCGTGAAACTCGTTAGCAACCGTGAGCAGAAGCTTTCCAGTCACTCATCAAGGCACCTGATCACAATGGAAAAGGTGAAGAAATTTGAGAACCGGGACCGGTATTCATGTCTGCAAAGTGATCGTTTTCTGCCATACCAAGGCCATAATTGCTTCCGTGAGAAATATTTTAGTGGAATGACAGAAAGAATTTCCAAGGAAGAACAATCCAGCCAAGAATGAAAATTAAGATATTGACAATGAAGAAAGGATAAGAATTTGATAGAAAAGACATCTGGATGTGAACTTTCATGTATAATCCAGACAATATGTCCTGTTTTAAAATATTTTCTATAAAAAAGGTAGAAAGCAAATTGTGCAATGTTTTTAAACTTATCTTTGTTTTATAGACTTTTTTGTCGTATATGTTAGTCTTTTGAATCTTATTGAATTCGTATTTGTACTTTCAAGTATTAATGGATATTGACTCAAAACAGTTTTTATAACAACTTAATCTACAAAGGAAATTAATATTGTTGACTTTTTTTTTTTTTTGAGACAGAATCTCACTCTGTCACCCAGGCTGGAGTGCAGTGGCATGACCTCGGCTCACTGCAACCTTCATCTCCCTGGTTCCAGCAATTCCCTGCCTCAGCCTCCTGAGTAGCTGGGATTAGAGATGCATGCCACCATGTCCAGCTAATTTTTTTTTGCATTTTTAGTAGAGACGGGGGTTTCATCATGTTGATCAGGCTGGTCTCGAACTCTTGACCTTGTTATCCACCTGGCTTGGCCTCCCGAAGTGCTGGGATTATAGGCGTGAGTCACCAATGCTCGGCCATATTGTTGACTTTTAAAACATATCTGCTGGATCAATTATAAGCAATTAATAATGGTTAGGAATTAATTCATTAAGACTGGGCACAGTGGCTCATTCCTGTAATCGCAGCACTATGAGGGGCCAAGGCAGGTGGATCATTTGAGGTCAGGAAATCAAGACCACCCTGGCCAGCAGGGTGGAACCCCATCTCTACTAAAAATACAAAATTAGCTGGGTATGGTGGCGGGCGCCTATAGTCCCAGCTACTCAGGAGGCTGAGAATGAGAATCAGTTGAACCCAGGAGGCAGAGGTTGAAGTGGGCCAAGATCGTACCACTGCACTCCAGCCTGGGCAACAGAGTGGGACTCTATGTCAGAAAGAAGAAAGAAAAAGAGAGAGAGAGAGAAAAGAAAGAAAGCAAGAAAGAGAGAAAGAAAGAGAGAGAGAGACACACACACAGAGAGAGAGAGAGAGAGAGAGAAAGAAAGAAAGAATTTATTCATTGGGTAGATTTGTTTAATTTGGTTTATGATTGTCACTGATTTACGTTGCCACTAAAAAATCATACTGAGAATTTCTGAGAAAAAAAAGAGAAAATTAGTTGGCTATAAATACATTGATTTATTTCTGGATTTTTCATTCTGTTTCATTGATCTGTATATCTGTTTTTATGCCAGTACCATGGTTATTCTGGCTAAGATAGCTTTGCAGTATATTTTTAAGTTAGGTCATGGGATGACTCCATCTTGCTCTTTTTGCTCAGGATTGCTTTGGCTATTTGGGATCCCATATAAATTCCAAGATGTTTGTTTACATTTCTGTGAAGCATTTCATTGGTATTTTGATAGGGATTACAATTGAATCTGTAGATCACTTTCGGTAGTATGACCATTTTCACAATATTCTTCTAATTCATGAACATGTGAAATATTTCCAATTTTTGTGACCTCTTCAATTTCTTTCATCAGCGTTTTTCAATTTTCTTTGTAAAGATCTTTTACTTCCTTGGTTACTTTTATTCTTAGGTATTTTGGGGTTTTTGTATTAATAGTTACTGCGGGTGAGATTGCTTCCTCAATTTCTTTTTTTGCTAGTTCATTATTGTTGTGTAGAAACACTACTGGTTTTTCTATATTGATTTTGTATCCTGAAATTTTACTGTATTTGCTTATCAGTTCCGTTATATGTAAATTTTTTGGTGTCACAAAGAAAAGTCAGTACTGGGACAAAGGGTCTCTCAGCAAAGCAATTCTTTTTACTTCCTTTGGAAAGGGTACCCTCATTAGCAATCTTGCCACAAGAATACAACAAACAAAGGAAGAGCAGACTTATTTATCCCTTATACATTTGGGGTTGTCCTTACTGCTGTGTCTGATATCCATTGGTTGGAGCCAGACCTCACAATCTAAACTAAAACCTGATTGGCTAACAACGTAAAACTTTTCTAAACAGGTTAAAGCAGTGGAGAACAACAAGGAAGTTCAAATAAGGAAGGGGCATTGTCTGCGAGCTGGGACATGCCTGTGAGCACGCTCTACACAGATATCTTGGTTAAAGTACAAGGACATAGAATGTACTATGTGCCTGTGAGCATGTCTAACAGCTACATAGGATGGGGCTTCACAAAGAGCTACTAGGAAAAAGCAAAAAGGCTTTGAAGAAAGTGTTTAAAACAAACTGCTATTTGTAGCACTTATGGTTTTTCTTAAACAAGAAAGGAAACTTTGAAGCAGAACTTTTCCACTTCCCACAATTTCTGAGAGTTTTTTGATGCAGCTTTTAGGGTTTTCTATATAAAATCATGTCATCTGCAAACAAGGACAATTTGACTTCCTTCTTGCCAATTTCGATGCCCTTTCTTTATTTTTTTTCTTGCCTAATTACTCTGGCTAAGACAAAACTGGAAGTCTTCTTGAAAGGAAGAGCCTTTGAGGAATGGGATGATGGAGAAGCTGGGTGGGCAGTGCTCTCAGTCCTGTCTCCAACAGGACCGTACCCCAATACCACCACAGGAAAAAAATGGTTTTGCTTAGCTTTTCAAAAGTTTGGGAAACACTGGATCTGATTAATATTCCTAGATACCCTTTCAGTTCTGACATTCTGTAGTGCAATATCGGGCTGGGAAATGCAAAAGACAGAGTATTCATTATTTGCTCTAATTTTATTTAGTTTAATCCTCACAACAGCCCTATGCAGTGAGGATTATTTAACTCAGTTCTTCCATATAAGAAATGTAGTCTGGGGGAGGGGTGGCGGTTAAATTACTTCACCCAAAACACACAGCCAGTGTGGATCTTCTGAGCCACACATGCAAATTCCACCATCCACGGGCTTTTTAGGTCAATCCCTGGCACCCTCAGTACCTTAAGAGGGGTGAAGATAAAGCAATGGGGGACAGCGATTGGGGGTGGTGATTTTTGGCTGGAATAAAAGCCTCTATGGAAGAGTTCCCTTGGAGCTGAGCTTTAAAGGCTGGACAGGGAGCCTACCAGGAGCAGGAATGGGTGTAAACAAAAGCACGAGACAGGGATAGCCCAGGGTGAGTTCTGAGCAGCCCACGATGGCTGGTGTGTGAGTGGGGAGGTAGGGAAAACTCGTGTAGGAGAAGAGAGAGGTGGGCCTGGAGAAGCAGCTCAGAGAGGGGCTTATCTTAACCATTAAGTCCTCCTGGCAAAGAGGTGGTGTGGATTCTATGAATGAGCAGAGAGAAAGGAAGAGCACTAGCTCTCTAAAGGCAATGTGGGGCTCAGGGAGAGAAGACAGATTTTGCCTTCTTTCCAGGTTTGCCAGGAGCAATGGCTCCAAGCCATAAGGGAGGACGAATGAATGAGTTCATGAATGAATTAAACGAATATTTATTCACCACCTCTCAACCCCAGGGTCTGCGCCAAATGCTTTCACTCATATTAACTTATTTAATTTTCATAATAAGCCCGTAAAATAAGGGTTATTACTCTCAAACTCTCTCTTGGCAAACATATACAGAGTGCTTACTATGCCAGGCACTTTGCTTAGCCCTGGAGAGGCAGAGATGAGCAAGACAGTGGAACGAAACGATTTAAAGCCCAAGGTTTGAATCACAATTCGGTGTTTTCCTGGCTTCGTGTCATTGGCTCAGTTACCGCTCAGTTTTCTCATCTACCAAACGAACATCATAATAGCACCTGCCAGGGACTCTTCTAAAGCCTCCTAGAAAGCTTGGCTGCCGGAATGGCGTGTGAACCCTCAGTTGCAGCTGATTGGATAAGGGGGCGGGCGCTCTACCAGTAGGCAGCCAGCCCATTGGCCACAGGCTTATGACATAGCCCACGGAAAAGGGGGTGGAGCCTAGCAAATTCTCTCTGTGTTCCAAACAGAACAAAAAGCAGTAATTTATTCACGCGCACCCACAAAGGTTGGAAAGATAAGGACGGGCATGGTAGCTTTAGCCCGCAATCCCAATACCGTGGGAAGCCGAGGTGGGAGAATGGCTTGAGGCCAGGAGTTTTAGATCTGCCTGGGTCTAAATTTTGCAAGACCCTGTCTCTACAAAAATAAAAATAATCAGCCAGATGTGGTGGCACACACCTGTGGTCCTAGCTACTTGGGAGGATAAGGTGGGAGGATGGCTTGAGCTCCAGAGGCAGGGGCTACAGTGAGCGGTGATCGCGCCACCCACTCCAGCCTGGATGACACAGGAAGACTGTCTCGGGGGACAAAAAGTTGGAAAGACATATGGATGTTTCCATTTCCTACCTTTTGAAAACCACATGATTTGACTGCCCAAGCCGCACCTCCTCCGAGGTATCTGGTGCTGTTCAGTGTTCAATGCTCAATGCAGGTTCGTATCAGACATCCCCACCACAAAGCTGCAAGCGGAACAGGCAGAGATGACTCACCTCACTTTACAGATGAGGAAACCGAGATGATGCACAGAGCAGTGACTTTGAACATCCCAAAGCATCCCACGGTGAAGCTGGTGTGCAAATTCCAGTCTGGTTCAGCTCTGAATCTGCACTGTGTCCATTACTCAGGCTTCTAGTTTTCGTTTGTTTGTTTGTTTGTTTGTTTGAGACTGGGTCTCACTCTGCCTCCCAGGCTGGAGTGCAGTGGTGCGATCTCGGCTTACTACAATCTTCACCTCCTGGGTTCAAGGATTCTCCTGCCTCAGCTTCCCTGAGTAGCTGGGACTACAGGCATGCACCATCATGCCTGGCTAATTTTTTCTGTATTTTTGATGGAGATGGGGTTTCACCATGTTAGTCAGGCTGGTTTCAAACTCCTGACCTCAGGTGATCTACCCTCCTCAGCCTCCCAAAGTGCTGGGATTACAGGTATGAGCCACCGTGCCTGGCCAGGCTTCTAGTTTTGACTGGCTCACCGGGAGTTCAAGAGGA